TTCCCTAAGACTTTATCACCCTGATACAGTGTTTTTAGCATGGGGTGTAACTTAAGAAGCAGGAAGCCCAGGTAGCTCCCTGGTACCTCTGCAGCACCCTCAGCTCAGCATGGCAAGGGTGCACTGCCCTTTGGGCAGCCCAAACACAAGTCCCCAGAATAACGATGTCTTCCTTGATTTTTCGTCTGGCCATTATGGTCTGTGCTGTGTACTGGCCGCTTTACCATCTGTGAAAGCTAGGTACCTCCTGAGGCTACCAAAGGGGGCAAAATAAAGCTACTGCTGTGTTGCACCTGGCATAGATACCATGAAACAAAGGCAGAACTAGGGAGGAAAAATGGGTTATTTAGCCTTATTTTCAAGAGATTAGTCTGCTAGATTTCTGAATAAACAAGTAGGTAAACATTTAAAACTCAGGCTGGGCTCTGGCTTCTGAGTGGAAAGTAGGTGGCATTGAACTTCAGGTTAAAACGCAGTTAAAAGAAATCCCACTGTTTGTCTAAAATACCTTTTTTATTTCTACTAACAAAAAATGAATTAAATCCACTGCTGTATTTCAGTAACATTCATCACTTAAAATCTGTTCATCACAAGATTTTGGAACTTGACGAAAAATAGCCTTTTCTTTTTATTACTTACTCCTGGTGGTAGAACGCTTCTTGTTCAGGGGAAGGTGCAGTCCTGACAAGCATTTAAGTTCTCCCAAAGTATATAGGTGTCAGCAGCTGTACATAATCAGTATATTTAGCTGGAGAACTAGGGGTGGAGGGCAAGGCTGGAACAGAAAGGGCTGCAGTTGCATTACATCTCTTACTTCCATCAAAATTAGCAATGCCCTATAGCTGATGAGCCTGATTCAGCTTACAGCTGAAGAAGGGCACTCTACAAGTCTGATGGGAGTGGAGATGCCTGCCCAGGCTGTCTTTGTAGAGTTTTGCAGAATGACTTCTTGGTGAAACTGGGGGAAAGAAACAGGGGACAAAGAAAGGCTGCAAAAGGTCTTCACAAATGCAAGGAACGATGGATACTTCCAGTCCCACCAACGCTGTGCTGCAGGCTTGTCTTGATAATTTTGTGCAGCAGTCCCTATTTCAGCAAAGCAGCCTTCTGTCAGCTGGATGGCAAAAATGAACAAGAAAATTAACCAGTCAATTCTTGCATATAAGATTACCTAAGGATGGGACAGATTTTCCATGTGGAATTGTTTGTAACTCCACATGAGAATATCAGAATAACCTTGGTGCAAAGAGAGACCATGGGATGGGGATAGTCCATCACCAGTTCAGGCTGTTCAGAATGCCTCAGTTCCCGGTGGGCATTCCCCTTTAAAAACATCCTCTCTTTCTGCCAGACCATACAGAGAGCTCGGAGAGACTCTCATCAATTCTCTGTGAAGCTGAATCTGCCATTCAACTGAAGACTGGACTGAACTGTCTTTTTCTCTTGGCTCCTCAGCAGGCAGGGGGGTCACCACCTCGGGGTCAGCCTTCCTCAGGCAGCAGCTCTGTGCAGGAGGAGTGAACCCCAGAGCATCTTCCATGGCCACATGTCTGGAAGCACGGTTTTGCAGCCGTCTTGGCAGCTCTCTGACTTCTCCAGGACCATTACATATACAGACATTTGGGAGGTGGTAACAAGCATGTAGCTATGAAGTTAGCTCATTTTCCAGGGAGGAGGCACTTGAGTAGAGCTGTGGGTTATTATGAGGTGTGGGCTGTTCAAGGAGGTCCGGTTACACAGCACATTGTAACAGAAGAATCTTGTCACAGCTCAGTTGAATCTTTGAAAAGATTTCCTCTCCTTCCCCAGCCTAAACAGCCTCTCATTTTTTCCCAAAACACCAGAACAATTTCTTCAAAAGTTGACATTACTTTTTGCACATGGCCCATGAGGAAACAACACCTCTCTGGATGTGGCAAGAAATTGTTAACAGCCCTAATATCATTCCATAACACCTGACAGGTGGACGTTTTACATGGAAAATGTGTTACACATGAGAGCAGAGCGAGGCTGACTCATTTAACTCCACGCCAAAGGCACTGTCAAAACCAAACTTCCCTCTGGAACTGGTACGCCCGTGGCATCCCTGACACACCAGCCTCTGAAGCTGACAGTGAGGCAGCTGTCAACCGGGGCAGCCGCAGTCTCTTTTCTCAAATTTTCTTGTTAAAATACACCGATAAAAGGTGTATCACGCCTGCTCTACATAAGGAAAAAAAGTTTAAGAATTCTCCCTTCTTGAAACGCTGCAAAACTAACCAACTTTCCACCTCTGCCTTCCCTCCCACAGTATCTGCAGGCATTAGTGTATAAAAACAAAAACCACCAAGACAAACCAGCAAGTAATGAAAGAGGAAAAGAGCACAAACAAGAAGCCTGCAGCACTGCCAAATTATACAACAGCCAATTCCCACTGGGGATAGCTTGGACAACTTGCCTCACTGAGGCCAGCAACTCTGCTGAGAGCACATGGAGGCTCCCATACCAGGACCAGGACCAGGACCAGGACCAGGATCAGGACCAGGACCAAGACCAGGATGAGGACAGGACAGGTAACCATTGTAGGCAGGTTGCCTGCACCCACCGTAGCCTTCCCTGCTGCTGTGGGCCAGCCCCTGGCCACTGCTTCCAACAAAGCTAGTAGGGATGGAGTGACTCCTAGCAGCTCTCAGAATCAAGCCTTTGACTCAGTACAACTGAGACAGGCTCAGTCTTCTCACCAATAATTGTCATGGGAGAGTGACTTGCCTTTCATTTGCTTGTCAGAGAGCGAGTGCATCTATGCCATGAAAAATCCTGACTCCTACTGTCACAGGCTGCAAAGGGCTGCCATGGCTTTTCTTCCCTCTCTGCTGTTTCTCACCACAACCTGCTCACGATTTACAAGACTGAAGCGACGACGCGTGCGTGTGCTCGGTGCCCTAACTTCAGCTGACACAGCAAACACTTCAAATCCTCCCCTTCCGTGCGCCTTCTCTGTTAAAAACCGCTGGGTACACACATGAGAGAGAGGAGGGAAGGAGGGAGACCCTTTAAGCTAACGGGTAAGGAATGTGCATTGAGCTGTGCGTGGAGGTCTGATGTCTCCAACTATTTGTTAAAAGGCAAAAGCAACACTTCCGACAGACGGCCCTCCCCTCGCCTGCAATAGGCTCCCAGGAATAGCAACAGCCTGTGTCACTGCAAAGGGCAAAGCCTTCTGAAATAGCAACAAAGTTGTTCACAAACCACTTTGTGGTTTGCGTTTGGTTTCAGCCAGCTTCAGCAACTCGTTGCCATGAGGAAAGGAACCTGCGCTTCCCTCGCCGGCCGGGGAAGGACGGCTGCCCTGTGAACGCTCCTGCCCCAAGGTCCAAAGGGGTGACAATGGCACCTGGGCAGAGTGCAGAGGACCTCGGCCAGCAGAAGCAGACGATGAGAGCA